ATCCAGGGTGAAGCACTAAGAGTGAATGTACTGATGTTGTCAATTGTGTTTAAAACAACTAAACTCTTCAAGACTTTTACCTTTACCTCGAACTGTAAGGACTGACATCTGCATAAGCAGCAGCTTCCCCTACTTAAACTGACTTGTGAGCCTGCATCTCTTCTTCCACAGTGCAAGATCCAATTCCTTAATGCAAGTGCCCTGTTTCTGAAAACACTGCTTGGTCTTAGGATTTGTAGCCTATTCTGAACTACTGCCTAAGAACTTGATTATGAAACATTTATTATGGCAAAGTCTGTTTTAAGCTGCTGCCCAGAGGACTGGCTGGTGATAGTGGAGGGTTTAAACTCTGGGCAACCCATTGTCTACCCATTTTCCAATAGGTATGTGCACTGTCTGAATACAGAGATTTTGCTGAACTTTTGCCTGGATTGAAAAATGCTAAGCTTGAATTGCCCACGTATGGTATTTTGATTTGGAAGCTGAATTCAGGTACACAGGGGTACTGATCTGTTAAGACTCTTTCTAAAACCTGCTGGTTTAGAGCAAATGTGGGTAGCAGAGCATTGTGAAGTGTGAGCGTCAGGAAGTGCCTTGAGGATCACTGGATAAAGGATGTTTGGTGTTCACAGAAGCAGCATTAAAGACTGAGTGGCAACTGTAATAGGATGGTTCAATGTCGTTGTAGTCATGTAACTTAACCACAAAGCATTTCATCATGACTTTATAGAAAGTGCAAGGAAAGATACACCATTAAAGATAGAACCCCACTAAACATTTATGGGGCAGATGATTTAGAGTTGAAGGAGTGAGTAAACAGTCACATAATCCACAAACTGACCAGATTATAGCTTTTGCCAAATTTTAGGAAATTATCAGTGCTAAGGCAGAGCAAACACAAACTACAGTAAAAAATGACAATCAATTTTCAATGCCATGAATATTTTTGAGAGATTGAGCTCTAAAATGTATTTTTATTGAGTTTCTAGATTGTAATGAATGTGTCTACAGAATTTTATGCAAAGCTTCAGAATTCAGCTGTTTTAAAATGATTTTTTATATAGCAGTGATTATTTTATCTATATATTTAATAGAATTGTAAAACCATTTTAAGAGTACCTGTAAAATTCTATGTATGTGATAGAATTATTTATTAATTATGACTCATGAGAATGAACATTAAGCTATGCATTGGTTGTGTCATCCATTTGAAAACCGGAAACTGCAAACAGGAGAAGAGCTTTTAATGAACAGCAGATCTGAAAAGCAGGGGAAATGATTGAATACATTTGTGTGATTCTTAAAGCTGCATAGCAATATGTAATTTTGTGATGTTAAACTTTCAGCTAAAGTTGCAAAATATACTGAGTGATTGAGCTACTTTCTTCCATTAAAACTTCCTGAGGCTGAAATCTCTACATGTTGATATCTGGCGTCTAAACACACTTAAATCCTGTACACTTTCTGGACACTCTTAGTTTACTCCTGTTCAGTATGACTGTAACTTTATTCAAATGGTGCTCCACTGAGTTTACAAGGGTGCCATGCCATACCCAGTGGAGGTTTTTAGGGTTCTCAGCACTAATCCTCAAAGAATCCGAGCTGTAGGAAATTAATTTGGCCAGTGTATGTGGTATCACATACAGCCATCTAACATAATAATAATTATAACTGTGCATTATCACTTATGCTAGCTTTAAATACTTGGGAGTCCTTTCTTGCCAAGCACAAACGTGAATGCATCCAGTGATGTGTTCAGTTCCTCTACTTCTGTGGAAGTCAGTGCAACACATCTGTGTGCTAAGCACACACTACAAGATCTGGCCCTGAGGGCACTTAAATCAACATCAACCACATAGGCCAGGAAGTCGCTGGAGCCTATGCAATGCCCATGCAAATTCAATGTACACCAAGAATACACCACTCACTTCAGTTACCTCCATTTTACACAGAGCATTTGTTTTCCTAAATCCTGCAGAATCAGCCCTCCAAAGAGAGGAAGTTAACATCTACTTCCATCTTCAACTAAGAGAACAGCAGCAAGGAACAAATAACTGGAAAACAAGGGTGAGATTTCAGGCTGCAGTATGGCCATGGAAGTTCCCAAACTGCTACAGCTGAAAGCTCATACCATGACAATAGGTTGCCTGCTGTTTCCATTGAGCTTATAGGTAGCAGATTTGAATGGAGGTAAAAATCACTAAATCCTCTGTATTTATGCATTGTGCAGGTTTTTGTCAGGTAAATAACTTCCCCTGGCACACCAATGACAACACTAATTTACAGCTGCCCAACTTACCATGTTCATGTTCCAGGTTTGCATCTAAACAGGACACACAGTGTGGCTTGTCCTTGCCCATACCAGCCCAAGATCATGAAGTTGTTCATGCAGGAGAATGGGATACATGCACATTAAATGAGATGGAAAAGTTATGTTCTCTATGGAGTAACTCGCTTTCTCTGTCCATAGCTTCACACTACTCCAGAGCTCACAAAGGGTGAAAAAATAATCCTTATTTTTTCAAGTGCCATAGTCATTTCATTTCAGGGTTATCTTAACTGAAATTGTGGAACATCAAAGTGTTTCTTTCCTCCACTAAATGTAAGATGTGGAAAACCTCCTTCCACCTCAGTGGCACTTTCAACAATTCCTTTCCAAGCAGCTGCTACTGCTGATATTGGAAAATGAGCCCCATGTTATTTCTCCCCATAGCGGGGGGAAATATCTTAAGTATATGTCTCTGCAACATAAAATTGGCCCCTCAGTGATTAATATATTTTTTTCTTCTTCATGAAAAGGTTAGAAGCACCAATAAAACTTATTTTACCCTAGTAAGAAATACTATAACCTACCATTCCAAGAAAGACTAGTTCCTGGTTGTCACTGCTGTGTTAAGGCCAGATAATATCTTTTCCCCTGAATAGTTTCATTACTTTCACTGGGCGTTCCTGGAATCTCTTCGATTCACAGAATAGATTTGCTGTGTCCAAGGACTAGTTTGTACAGAGGGGTCCTTGGTCCATGGCCATTATTAAGACTGTAACAGAAAATCACTCTTGTTTATTTCAAAATGACTGGTCTGATGTGAATCAAGTAACTTTCAACATATATGCTGCTGAGTCCTTGAGAGAAACAATGCAGTCACATTTTAATGCCAAATAAGTTACACAAGTTAAATACGTATTTTTACTTCAATGAAAAATTCAACTTGTACTTTTGTCTTGAACAAAACATTTTAGTAGGCATACCACCTTGTGCTATTGTATACCACTGTGTAAAAAGCTGAATAAACTGTTTTACCTTTCTTGTTAAAGTTCTCTAGTTTAAACTGTAAAGTGCTAGATGGCTAAAGAGTTAATGAGGGACTTCATACTAAATAAATAATTTGTAAGTAAGGAATGTTATATTTAAAATACATGTTTCTCTTTGGCAAGTGTTGAGGAATGATGATTTTTTTAAAATGAGAACAAATGCTGGGAGGATTTGAGTGGTGTCCAGATACAGGGAAGGAAATGCATTTTCATGTACTTTCAAATACATTTCTTTTGAATACTTCAGTCAGAGGCTTGTATTGGATGTTTGCACTAGTTGATCAAAGCTAATTTTTGTGAGAATGAACTAAATTCTTCTGTATAGCTGTTAAACATAATGTTTTTAGAAACTGTTATGCTGTAATAAGAATAGTATTTACTAGTGAATAGCTCCAATTTATTTTACAGAATCTCCAGTTTTGAAATAAATGGACAGGCTTCCTAATCTGTTACCTGTGGGTTTGTCCTTGTGGATTCTAATTGTTGAATTTATTAATTGTTATTATTATATATTGTATCTATTATATGTATTATCTTTTATCTATCTACACATTTTCATGCCCAGAAACTAAATGCATGTTCTAGGAGGAAAGACCTCAGTAAAGACTGCAAATTCATAAAGTGCATTGTTTCCCACTTACCCAAAAAGTGACTTTTCATTTTGGAGGAAGCATCTAAACTTTTTTTCTGGTCGACAAACAAATGGATTCAAAAATTTTATAAAGGGGAAGAATTACTAATTTATTAATGCATAGAAACTGGCATTATAAAGGGAATAATGGGAAAGCTTACAAAAACAGTTGTGCTTAATTGTTTACTGTTCTTACAATTTGTTTATCTGAGTTGTTTCTATATATATGTTTAGATTTGGGCATTAGTAAATTACTAGCTGCAGTACCATTTTATATTTACTATGTACTTTCCCCTACACCTTAATTCCCTGTGCAGTATATGAGAAAAAGAAAATATAATACAATAGAGTTGCAATACAGTTCAGAATTAGCCCCATGATGTGTGTCCTGAAAAATATATCTAAATTGGATAAATACACTGAAAGGAAATGGCATATGGGAAAGGTATAGGAATGCTTCCTCTCTAAAAGTTTCATGGGTATCATGCTTTAGGACTTGTAAATATTCCTCTAATCCTTCTACAAAATCAAATCATCTCACATGTTTTCAAAGTGCTTCTAACCACTCCTGCAGTGGTTGTACTTGCCTATTGGACAAGCCTCCCCCACAACTAAGTGTACATAGCAGGACAATATTCATGGTTCTGTTGAGAATTTGGGATATTTGGGCCCAGTCCTGTTAGCAATGTAGATTTCCAGCATCATAGAACAGTTTGGGCTGGAAGAGACCTTAAAATGTTATCCAGTCTACCTGCTCTGCCATGGGCACCTTCATCAAATCAGGTTGCTCGGAGACCTGTCCAGTCTAGCCAAGTGTTTCCAGGGATAGGGCATCTACCACTTTCCATAACCAAAACTTTAAAAACTGGTTTTTTGTTTTTTGTTTTTTTTTTTTTCCTACTGACATTGTGGTTAGGAATTTGCAAGTGCACTGGGGAGGGTGCAAAATTCAAATAGGTAAGATGGGTCATCTCAGTGTGTGGAAGCAGAGTATACTTTTACAATGGTATGAGATCCAAACCTTAGTTCAAATTCAAACATAGTAAGACAGGAGCCATTTGACTGCTTTTCTTTTAACTACTCTGGGATAAAAGTTATTCTGACAGAAACTCAAAAATAATCTCCCTTATCCTTGTTGTGTAATCACAGTTATTGTAGCTTGAAGATTATGTACATGCAGTGCTGGAAACACTGGATCCATCTGGACCTTAGCAGCAACAAAGACAAGCACAGGGTTCATTTCTGATAAGGAGCCCTACATATGTGTACACACTGAGTATGCGCTTGGGTTGTGCAGGAGCCCAGACCTCCTAAAGATAACCTGTGGCCATCACACATATTCTTGGTGGTGTAAACTGAGACCTTCATCCTCTCTTCAGGGCTCATTTTACTTGGTCGGTAAACAAAGCCAGCAGGAGCACGAGAACCTTCAGACTGGTGAGTGGGTATAGCAAAGCCTTTGACTTGAGCTGTGCTCTCTCTTATGACACCAATTTATGGCGGTAATCTTTTCTTGAGTTGCTATTTTTACTGATGTTACAAGGATTATTTCCAGGAGAGCTAATTGCAACAATTTATGAGATGCCTTTTGTGGCTAACTCCATTCCTTGGTGAGACAGTACCACTGGATTACCACAGTCCTTGGCAAACTACTCTTTGTCTTGGAATGTCATATAACATATGATCAAAGCAAAATGTATAGCTCCATCTGCTGTAAATACTTTGAATTTATTATTTTTCATTTCTTTTTTATGTTTGTTCTGTACCCTGGGGAACAGATTTATCACTCTGCTGCTAAGTATTTTCTGCATGTTATCAAGAATTGACATGCATATAGATTTATATGCTGTAAAGTGATATTTCTTGGTTCTCAGGCATAAATGAGCATTAACAAGGGTATATCTCAAGGACATCAGGAACTTCTATTAACTGTTGTATGACAGATCTTTTGCATTGTGCCATTGCAGCTACTTGTGAAATTGCTCCCCTTTATCAGTAAAAAAACCCATCAGGTGAAGTCCCAGGTGACTGGAAAAAGGAAACCCTGCACCCATTTTTAGAAAAGGCAGAAAGGAAGAGCCTTTCCCCCTTGCTCCTCTGGTTCCCTACTGGCTCGAACCTGAAAGGAAACAGTGTAGTGCTCAGTTCTTCAAGGGTTAACATCATCAGTAAACCTGAGCAAAACTGCTCCTTCTTGCTGCCCATGTTCAGGAGATGTTTGTAGTCATACCAAAGTCTTTTGTGACTCCCTCCTTTTTCTACTTTTGATGTATTTCTAAATTTATAGGAAAATTAATTACAGTATCCAAACCCATTGTAGCTTTGATGGCATCAAAAAAAGCCAGTATTTCTAGAGGAGCTGGAAGCCAATTTTGGTTTAAAAATATTCTCTCTCTGTGAGGCTATTCCAGAACAGCCAACAGAATTACAAGCTCAGAGTTGAATACAAATCTTGTGGTTGACATAAATTTTGTTCCCCATTTTTTTTCAGCTACTGGTAGCTATATGGTGTCAAAAATTGATTTCTTTCCTAACAGAACATTTCTTTTTCTCCATCCCTCTTCCTTAGCAGTGATTTAAATTTGTTTAGTTTCTTTAGTGATGTGTCACTGTGCTAGAGACACTCTAGAAACTGTAAGTAGAAGATGATGGAGGAGATCATCAGTCTGGAGAAATCCAAGGAAAAAGCAGCGAACTTTGCCTGGGAAATGCTGCCAGGAGACAGAGGGGTCAGTTTCCAAACTACATCAGCTCATATCCTCATGTCAGTAATTTAACGAGGTAAAAAAAAAAAAAAAAAAAAAAAAAAAAAAGTTTTTCTTGCACTAAGGAAAATATCCTTGAAATTACGAAGTCTGGGTCACTGAAGTGGGAAAGCATGCCAATTTTTTTTCTTTTTTAATGCATTTTAGGGTGAGACAAAGATTCATGCAACCTAACACCATGTTAAAATCTAAGCTTCAGTTTTAGAAATGGAATGTTCTTTCTTTCTTCCAACTTCCTTCTCTATAATCATACCTGCAGCTTTTTCTCATAATACCCTGCAGGTGTTATTATAAGCAACATGGTTTAAAATGTTTGCAGCTGCTCTTTCCAGCAGTGATTCACAGCTATGAGCTGGAAAACCTGGTAGCCAGACTGCGGCTTCTTGAGAGGAAAGCCTCAAGGAAAAATTTCCCAAGTGGAGTGCAGAAGAGACACATCCTTTCCTGGCCAGAAACTAGAATGCAACACTTGGGCAGCTATTTCCTTGGTAACTGCCGGCTTGTTTCAAAGTGCTGTTCTGAACTGGTGTGTGACACGGGGTCAGAAGACATCGTGGCTGGTACCGACAGCAGGGAACAACAGAGGTCACCATTGTCGCACAGGATGGAATCTCTTCAGAGCCCATTTTAGACCGGAGCCGAAATGCCTGGTTTCCACCGGTGTGATTGGACAGTTCTGTAGCATGAACAAAGACAATTCATTGTGACAAAGTGATTTTTAATGTCAATTTTCCTATTTTCTAACCCAAACAGAATCTTTCTTTAATCTTAGTCAACAGAAAAGAAAAAAAAAAAAAAAAAAAACAAACAGAAAAGCCTCCACTCCTCATCCCTAATTTTTTTTAAAAGGGAGATAGATATCTCTATTTTCTTGTTGTCTAATAACAGTTACCCCATAGAGTAAATATCAGTATTTATAGTACTAAAGATATGGGGAATGCTGTTACTTGGTACATTGTTACTTATTCTTTTCCAGATTTTAATAGTTGGGTAGTGTGTCCTTTTCATCCCACAGCCCGTTTGCTTTGTTTTTGTGGTTGGTTGTGTGGTTTTTTTTACCAAACTCTGAATGCCAGCCAGTTTGAAATATGTGGAATTTTCAGTTGCATCTCACATTGATGAGATCATCTCACTTTAAAAATGTTTGTAAGGAATTTGTGAAATCAACATAAAAGTAAATTTTTAATTTGGGGTTAAACTCTGAAGGTTAGGTCTAATTACACAAATACATGACATCAAATATCTTCTTCTTAAAATAGAGAGGGGTAGTAGTAAGGAACAGCACAGATTGCATCCTGTGTTTTTATATCAAAAACTCCTGTCAGCAGGCAGGCTCGAAGAGGAATGAGCTGTGGAGAAAGACACCAAATTTTATAAGAAAATAACTTCCAGAATTCTCCTGGTATTTGTCTATTTTGTTTTCTAAGTATTCTACTTGCTTTCTCTTTGAACCTACTTGAAATGGATAAAATTAATTCTTTAACCATGGCCTGCACTAAGGAGAGTTTCTTTCTGCTCTATTTTATGTTAGAAGGAATCAAGAATGCCAATTTCCTTCAGTACTTCAGCTAAAATTGGAAAAATAGACCCATATGTTCTGACAGTTCCCACTGGATGAGACTGAACAGCTGCTCTTCTTCCTCAGCTTTTGTCATGGGATATAATTATTCTTCCATCCATAAAAAAACAGAAGGATGCCCTTTCAATCCTGTAAAAATACCCAGTACTGTAACACTTAACAACATAATGGCAGGCATTACAGAAGTTCTGCTCTAAACAGCAGCAGAGGTTTGTGCCAAGAAAATACTTAATTTGATAATACCGCAGGCCTCTAGATCACTTTAAATCTGAAGTAATTTTATTCAGGTTGTTTTAAATGGATCTTAGGAGTGCTCCAGTCAGCTTCATGTTTTTCATACTGATTTTGCAGGCACACTGTGTTACAATGGCAAGTCCCTGGTAGAGAGCAAATGGAAGGAGGAAACAAAATGTCCAGCAAACAGATCTTCCACTGAAAACACACTGCCTTCCACACAACTTACAAGGGCAGTGGATGGCCAGAAGTGGCATGGCATTTATGCTCATCTTCTTTATCAGGCACCAAGGCCGATCACCATCCAGTCCTTCTGCACAGAGATCACAGAGACTCTCACTTGGTCCTCTGGCTTAAAACAAATGTAACTTATTCACCTCTGGCTGAAGGGTTTTGGTGGTGGTAAAACCTTACCCTACACCAGCTGTTTAATTCCAGACATTTCAAGGCACTTCTAAAAATATTTAGCAGTAACATCTACAAGATCAGTGGAGTGTTGCCAAAGTACTGGAGTGAGACCAGTGCTCCAGCCAGGCAACAATCTGCCTCATTCAGTGACAGAAGGAGATGCTGCCTTGGGAATGCACAAAACCCATCTACATTCAGCTGTCCCCTCTTCTTCCACCTTCTGGGCCCTGCACCAGAAAGGACTAAAGGCTCCCCAATGGAAAAGCAGAGCCTTGCCTTTGGCAGGAAAGTGACTTCTTACGGAAATGGCCAGCTGTGTGTGGAAAGGTGGGATTTCTGGCATTGCCAAAGGGATCACCTTTTTCCCCTAGGGCTATCCGTGCGATAGGACAACGCCATCCCCTCAGCTCCGTGTCTCCATGGCCAATCACTCCAGGACCCGCAGGGGCAGGATGAGCGAGCCCGGGCCCTCAGCCCCCTCCCAAGATGGCGGCCGCCGCCCCCGCCCCAGCGCGCGAGACCCGCCCGCCGCGCGGCGGGGGAAGGGGAGCGAGGGAGCGCACGTGAGCGCCCCGAGGCTCTCCGGCAGTCGCTGTGTCCCGCCGTGCCATTGGCCGCCTCGCGAACCTTTCACCTTTTACCCGGCTGCGGCCGCCAATCGCCGGCTTCCTCTCATAGCGTGGGGGGATGCAGAGCGTGCGGACTGCGCAGGGCGGAATTCTCGGAGCGGGGTTGCGCCGCGGGCGCTGGGCGGCCCCCGTTGGTACGGGCGGGAGGGGCGGGGGCGGCGCTCCGTTTGCGTAGCGCCGGCCGTAGCGCAGGGGCAAGGGAGGGAGGGGGAGGCCGTCCCGGGCCCAGGTGAATGGAGGGACCTGACAGCTGCGGGGACTGAGGCGGCGGCGGGGAAATGGCGGCGGCGGGAGCACAATGAGACGCGGCCTGTAGTAGGGGGAAGCGCCGGGCTGGGTCCGGTCCGAGCAGGTAGGAGATGGCGCGCCGGGAGCTGCATGGCGGCCGAGCGCGGGTGTGTCGCGCCCGCTGGCCGCAGCTCCCGTGGCCCCGGCGCCTCGGCCAGAGGGGAGGGATGGCGGCAGCCTTCCCTTCCTCCGTCCCTCCCGGGGCCCGGGCGGTGCTGCCCCGCCTCCGCCCCGGCGGCCGCCCGGGCCCCGCGGTCGGGCTGGGCCGCTGCCCCGGCGGGGCCCGCACGGCCGGGCCGCGGCCCCGCTCGGCTTTGTCTGCGAGCGGCGCCCCCCGCGGGCTCCGGGGCCCTCCCCTGTCAGGGAAGGCACTAAAGGAGTTTAAACTCAGCAGTGCTGATGGTAAAGGCGATATAAGAATGTCTTGGTTCTTCTTTGCTTCCTTTCCATCCTTTTCCAGGGCAAGTTAAGGCAGCGTGATTAAAGGCAGACCTTCTACTGTGTGAATGTGCGTTGAAAAGTGAAAGGTTGAAAGACATATATGTTTGCACAGGGCTTTGTTGCTGTGTTAGGTAATATAGATCTAGCCCGCATGAGTAGAAAATGGGGGATGATACTGATATCTGACCAAAAAAATAAAAAGGCAATTTTTGTGCGCATTATGCTTAACCAGAAATTGGTGTTCAGTAAAAGTGACTCTCAAAGTGAATAGTGAATCTCAGTTAACTGCTAACAGTCTGGAGGATGTTTGGCAGTTCAGACCCTTCAGACCAGCTTTGAGTATTTTTGACGTTAAGATTTTGGTCTTCAAGTTAGGTGGTTGGCTCAAGTGGTGAAATTGTGTATTTTGGAAGATTGTCTTCAGTTTTCTTTCCCTTAACGTGGTAATGAAAACAGTTAACTTTGCAGACACTCAGTTTGCCCTGTGTTTTATGTGTTTTCTTTAAGCCACTCTGGATGCTCTGTTGAAATGCTGACTGCACGTGCATGTTCTGTAGGTGAGGGTGGTGCTTGTTTTAGCAAGTTCATACAGACACTAACTGAATTTCATTTCATAACTATTTTCCTGAGTTCCTCTCCTAAGAGAGTCTTTCTTATTGTCTATTTCCACACTGTGTCCGTGAGCTTTGAAGACGCTACTAGCAAATTTCAGCTGGAAGGTGCTTTTTTTACATCTTTAATGATTGGATTGTTACTTTATTAATTGGTAGGGTTAAAAATATGTATATATTTATTCAGAAGTGTTTACCCTGAATTAGCTACTGCTGTTCTTCAAAGCATCCTGATAACACAGTTCTGTGAAAGTGGCAGGTCAGTACTTGGCAGCCACAAAACAATTAATACGAGAATTAACAATTGAAAAGGCAGTGACATCAATATGTCGTTGTATAAACCAATTCTCAGTCCATATGTTTAACATTAATTGCAGTTTGGGTATTTTCTCTATCTCTCTTCTTTAGAAAGGTTGTATTAGGCTAAGAGAAGTGTAGATGGAAAAGACTGGGACTTTTCACATGAGGAAGGACATATTAGTAAAGGATAACAAATATCACAAAGAGTCATGAAGAAAGTAGAAGAAGGAAGTGTTGATTTTTTACTTGGTTCTCCTGTTTTTGAAGGATTTCTGTATCCTACAGACTGAACACAAATGTGATACTCTTTTACACTGTGTGTAACTGAAAGACATGGTGCATCAATCTGTTGGGAATGGCAGAAGTTTACCAGACAGTTGAAACAATTAATTTATAGTGAGATTCATCCAAGGGTACAAGACCAAAAGTATCTTTTTAGTCTTGGCAAACACCAAGGTGGCTGGTCTGTGGAAGGTACCTCTGCCTGCCCTGCAATTATACAGCTCCATACATGTCCTCTACTGGTTACTGGTAGGGGGAGGCCAACCAAGCTATTTTGTCTGTTATATTACATTAATAGTTTTCTAGAAGTTAATTTTTTTTCCTTTCTTTTTAAAAGAAAAAACACACAAACGTATGTAGCATACAAATGGAAAAAACCTAAAATTTGCAGTTTAAAAACAGATGCATTTTAATGGATTTTTCTAATGTAGTTCATAGATGTTTCTCCTTTCCCACCTCAAAAATGTGCAAAGTACTTTGCCACCTTTTCAGCAAAGTGTATGGATTTGCTTCAGCACAGATGCTCAGTCTGAGTATCCCTGCCTGATCCATGTTGGCTTTCAGGATGAGCTGTCTAAATGTGCATTGATCTGTATTGAATGCAAATTACTGGCAAAACCAAATGAAAACACATGCATACATAAAAGAGCGAAGAGTTATTTAGTAAAATGGATAAAAGAGCTGAAATAATTTGATTTCTTTTTAGATAAGCTCTAGAATAGAAGTGAGAGCAAAAATTAAGGAAGATTTTGAAGAGGATTCTAGGGCTTTAGGGACAAGGAGTGTTACGGTAAGTGCTAAGATTACAGACAGGTTTTTGATTTTGAGGCATAGGTTAATTGATTGATACCAAATTGATTTTTGCCTTTTTTGCTTTTATATATTCTCTATAGTCTTTACATACATATATTTGTAGCTCCATAGCCTATTATTGTATTTGTAGCTAGCATTTTACCTACTCCATTGGACAGAAAGACAAAAGGAATTCCCCAGCTGCTCCAAGCCCTGGGGGTCCAAGGTTACGTCCTCTGGGAGCTGTGATCAAAATGACTTCTGAAGACACATTTTCATGAACAAAGTTTAGTTATTATCCTAGGGGGACTTTCAGAAATGGGTAGAACCAGGGGAGGAATTGCCTCATCACCTGTGTCTCTAATTGGGGATTCTTGTAAGTTATGCTAATTTCCAAACATAAAAAAATTCTATCTGCTTTATGTTATGTGTGCATCTCCAGCGCTTTTCATCCAGCACGTTGTGCCATAAGGATCCTTGTAAAGGTAACCCCTTTTATCACCTGTGTCTGGCTCATGATTGTAGTGCCAGTGAAAAGGCATCACTATCAGGCAGCAGGAAGAACTTCAGAACATTCTGAGATGGGTTGTTCTGTTGTTCCATAATTCTCTCTGGCCTTTTTCCCTCTCATGTAGGTAATACGAACTAGGGAGTACGCTGAGTGTGATGTGTTGTTGGCAGAACAGCAAGGTGGTTCCTGTGTCCTGGTGCCTGACTGTAACCAACCACTGGCCATCTGTATCCCATCACCTTCATGTGTTCAAGTAATTTCTTTAGACTGATAGCAGAAGTTTGGTTTTATTTATACAGATATTTTTAAGAAGTGCTACTTTTAAAAAAAGTAAAAGTATCATAGCGTTGTGTAGAACAGGAGCTTCTAAAAATGTTTGGAATGTGCTTTTAGAATGCTATATCCTGAAGGCTAAGAATAGTTGGGAGTAGATCACAAAGTATGATTTTGCTTTACACCTTGACATCTATTTTTTCATCCTTTAGCCTTTTTTGAGTACCATATGTATTGTGATAAGCCAGAAGAGAAGAAATATATAGTAAAAACTAAAAGTTCATTTTTTAACTGAAGTTGCAATCTTTGTTGACATTTTTTAGTTTTGGTGTCTAAACTGTACTGACTGGGGTATAGTAGCTTTAGGACTGTTAGTAGAACATTCTAGAAGGCTTAATCTAGAGAGCAAAGTAGTGCCCACTTTAATGTGTGCCATGTTATTATGTTAGGTAAACTCTTGGTTTTGATAGTTCTTGCATGTTTATCTAGTAACATAATTTTTCAGGTTTGCGTGCTGAGCAGTGTATTTGGAATTCCCTGTTATTTCTGCTCTGTATTGCAGACTACATTAGTTAAATCAGTTTTCCATTATATTTATTACCTTCAAAATCATGCAGTAAAGAAACAGAGGACTGAAATTCATGTCAAGGAATTTACTTGCATTGTTGCACAGCTGGAGATGTTGAAAGGCTGTTCTCTGATGGGAAAGAGAAGAAAGAGCAATATTTTCCACTTTCCCCTGTTGTAAATACTCCTGGATCCAAGAGACTTCAGTACTGCTTGTTGTGGCCCTTCCTAGAAGTACAGTCCACTTGTCAGTCTGTGATCTGTGTTTTGGTTGGCATGAGTGTTACTAGTGAGTTCCTTCTTACCAAGACAAAAAAATCAAAAGAATTCTCTCTTGATCTTTGCTAATGGTAGTAGAAAATCTTGGTTTGCTGTGCTTTCTTTGTGACAATGACTCAGTACATCTGTGATGTAAGCTGGCAGGATCAGTTTCTGCCCATGATTTAAATATTCTGTTATTCTTCATAAAGGATTAATTCCTTTGGGTTCATTGAATGAGAGTGAGAGATCTGAGAAGCAGCAGGATAGCAACTGACTTGAAGGATTGGTTGCTGGAAACAGAGGTGGTCAGTTTGGGGCTGTTTTAGCTGGCCTTGGGATTTTTTTTGTTTGTTTTAAATGTCAGTATCCTTGTATTTTTTCATTTGTGCAAATGCACACACATTAAAAAAACCCAACTCCAAATGTATGTTTGAACCAACCCCTTATTGTCAGTAATTAAAACCTGATTTCTGGTGTCTGTCTCTTCTTTTGGATTTTGATTCTTGGTAATTTGTCAAGCCATGTAGCAGCCTTTTTCCTCAGCTGAAATGCTAGTAAGTTGGGTAGCAGTAAAGAAATTAATCTTAAGTATAAGAATTTAGGAATTTTATTTTTGAAAGCTGAATTGGAGCTTTAGACCTGCCCACTTACTGATAGCATTAATTGCCTTTCCTTAGGAAGTGAGGTAAATACATTTTGCTTTTTCAGGTTAATTTGTTTGATTCCATTGAGATGATTTGGCTATTCAAGCATGTCTGGGCTGGCTACCTTTGCAATTCCTGTTTCTCTTTTGTTTGCAAAGTCTGCTTTGTTTCTGATCTAGACCAGGTTTCTTACAGCTTTCTTTGAACTGTTACTGGCCTTTTATGATATTTCTGCTCTATATTTTTTTGTTCAAGCAGAAATGAACAAAAACGCTTAACTATATAAAGGTGAAGTTGCCTTGTAGTTTGTAGTAAAAACTTTTAGAGGTGATCTGAATTCTAGATAGCACTCAAACCATAGAATACCTAACTTCTCTCACTAAATTTTGGCAAGTTAATTCATGTATTTTTGTTTTCACCACCGCTTTTGAGTTTAATTTTCAAGTGCATAAATAAAAGACATTTTTCAGGTATTCATATGCTACATACCTTAAAACATTTAAATGTATTTAATCTGACTTATTAACTAGGGGTTTATGAATTAATGATATTAATTGATAGTATATCTTCTTTGTTCCAGATATTAGTGTCTGGGATCAATCTTAAGGCATTTAATTCCTCACTGAAGCTGTGTATTTCTGATTAGGCAAACTTGTGCTTTGCTATATCTTCATGGTCAATGGCTACTAGGCTTTTGGTTTTGGAAAAAGATACAGAATGAAAGTGCTTACAATACACGCAAAAGTCTGGTCAATTTTTTTTAGTGACCCACAATCTTTGCCATCTTTCAACGAAAGTTAAATGCCTGTATTGTAAACTTGCCACATAAAGTTGATAAGAACGGATATGACCTCTGTTGAAATTTGTTTTGGGGAAAAAAAATCTATGCTTCTCCCTTCCCGTCTGAAGATATTTTTTCATGGTTCTAACTATCCAACATAGTGCTATCTCAGTGACCTCCAAGACTGTAGACATGAAATTACTGTTAGAGATGGATCATGAGCATTAAAAAGTATACTGATTCTTAAAACAAAAATACCCCAAACAAGTACACATTTAAACCTCTGTTTCTGCTGCGTGTTACTTGAATCCCCATGATGATGTGTGTGTTTTCGTCACTTGTTCTTGCTGTGTATACTTTCCTGTTTGTGTGAAACAAAGTAAGAGGAAAATTGGAATATGAATGTTTTCTACCAGTTAAATGAACAGAGTCAGCATGAATGGCAGAGACTAAGGGGAAAGTGTCAGAAGCTTGTTACTGAGAGCCATGGGATTATCTTTGTATCTTTTTCATTATTTCTGCAGTTACTGCCAGCAAGGTCTCATGGACTGCCTCACAATTTTTTGCAACTTGTAAAAAAAGAGTGTGAGGAAGTGTGTTTCTAAAGAATATTGAGCTCTATCAGCATTAGCCTCAGGATTTCACTGACACTAAAGAAAGATAGCAAACTGTAAGTGATGGGGCAACAAGAAACTGTCTGTGTACTTTCAAAGATTATAAATCAAAAAATAAAAATATATCCAGGTATTTCCAGAAATGTATACCTAGTATATCCACAGGTTTATATAGTGAATACATAAGTTGATTTGCTTACTGTGCAGTCACAAAGGCTCTGAGTTCATTAAATCTTCCACTATAGAAGTGTGGCTGTACCACCTACTAAGCAATTTGAAAGCAATGGGTTTGAGGCATGATGGGTGATGAAGCTCTGGAGGAGAAGGTGTGTAGGTTTTAGGAAAGTAATGCATTTTTATCTTCAAGTATTTAATTGAAAAAATAATGGAAAGAATGCCAAAGACATTTATGAGCTCCCTGGGTCTTTCAAAGACGTATGATCAGCTTCCAGGAGATGAGCAATTTTCCCTGTTGTAATCCTTGCATACTTAATGTTTTGTTATGTTGAAATTAAGAAGTTAAACATGCCTTGATTAATAGTAAGTTGTCTGGAAAATGGTCATCTAATGACCGTGTGTTGCCTAAACTGAATACAGGATAAGTTTTTAGTGACAAAATTCATGATTCATTGAAACTGTCTACTGACAAGTTATCTCGGCTGATGAGGGTCTGCACAGAATTACTGGATGATTTTAGGGCATGTAGTGACTGGCATAATGATGAAGCAGGTGCTGATTTCTGGCAGGCATTTGGAGTAGTGTGCCACTAATGTATTGATGTATACATTGCCAGCTATTAGGAGTTGTTAAAACCTTTTATCAGTTAACCTTACTGCGGTCTGCTGCCTGCAGGTGTTTCCTCTGGCACCATTTAAATAATTTTGGACTACACAGGAAGAAGTTTTGGGTTTGAAATTTTTATTGATCTTAGTGTAACACAGTTCAGCAGGAGTTGGCAAGAGAGAAGAGAAGCTGGTGTCTGATTTTAAATTGCACTCTCAAAAACCTGTTGAATCCAATTTCCTTGTTTTCTGTAATGAAGGCGTTCAAGTGGCTGTCAAAGTGGATGACAACCTCCTCCTCATGGCAGCTCTAATACTACTCTAATC